AGTTGGACAGTGACTAAGGAGGATAGAAGGAGAATTGATGCCTTTGAGCTGTGGTGCTGGAGAAGAGTATTGAGGGTACCATGGACTGCTAGGAAAACAAGTAGATTCATCCTGGAAAGGGTTAAATCGGGCGGCTCCTTAGAGACAAGGATTCTGAGGCTCCGTCTAACATACTTTGGACATGTCGTAAGGAGGGACTGGTCCCTGGAGAGGGACATCATGCTTGGTAGGGTGGAGGGACAGCACAGGAGGGGAAGGCCCTCTATGAGGTGGATTAATTCAGTGACTGGGGCAATTGGGATGGGTGTATCAGAGATGGTGCAATTCGCACAGGACAGAACAGAACAGAGTTTAGGGCTGTTGTACACAAGGTTGCTATGAGTCACAAGCAACTCAACAGCACATAACAACAACAAGAAGCAGGGTGGACCATCTACTTCCTAAATATCAGGCCACTGAAAATCCTATGAACACTAAAGGAATGAGGATAGTTATAGTAGTGTAGTGGTGGAGGAAGTGATTGGAAGTCAGTTAAAAGGAGGAAGAACAATAACAAACATAGTTTAATAATTGGAACCAGGAACATACGTAATTTGAATGATGGAATACTGGCTATTATTTAAAATGAAATATAATGCATGCATAGTGACATACCAGGCTTTAGTGAGATGAGATGGGCCAGCTTTGACCACTTTGAATCAGATAATCATGTGTTATACTATGCAAAGAATGAAAAACAGAAGAATGGTGTTACAAGTTATAGTTAAAAAAGTCAATTTCAAGTTCTATCCTGAAATACAATACTGTGTGTGATAGGATAATATCCATATGCACAGAAGGAAGACTTGTTAATGTGACTATTATTCAAATATACACTCATATATCTAGAGTCAAAGAGGACAAAATTAAAAATTTCTTACCAAATCTTGCATCCAAAATGTACCAAACATGCAATCAAGATGCTTTAATGGTAATTGGTAACTGGAATGCAAAAGTGGGAAACAGTGAAGAAGGAATGGTGGTGGTGTTGTAGTTTTTGTTGTTGTTTTTATGTGCCATCAACTCATACTGACCCTATGTACAACAACTCTGAAGCCTGCCCTGTCCTAAGCCAGTCTCACTGACTCCAAAACTCCTACCCCTATTGCCCTAGTAACTGTATCAGTCCATCTGATCCAGGGCTTTTCTCTCCTGCGCTGTACCTCTACCCTTCCAAGCACAATGTCCTTCTCCAAGGAAAAGCCTCCTGGCCACATGCCCAAAGTATATGAGATGCAGCTTCAAAATCCTAGCCTTCAAAAAGAAACTTGGTTTCACCCTCTCTATAACATACCTATTTGTTTATTTGGTGGCCCATATTATTTTCAAGACTCTTCTCCAGCACCACAACTCAAAGGCATCAATTCTTCTTCAGTCATCCTTAGCCGTTGTCTAGCTCACTGATGCATAGCAAGTAATTGCAAAAACCATTGCCTAGATCAGGTGCCCCTAGCCTTTCTCATCCATGTTTCTGTCTTCTTCCAGCCAAGATCCATGAAGAGATTAACCATGTTATTGGACCTCACCGGATCCCAAGTGTGGATGATAGGGTCAAGATGCCCTACACAGATGCTGTGATCCACGAGATACAAAGACTTACAGACATCGTGCCTATGGGTGTTCCACACAATGTAATCCGGGACACTCAATTCCGAGGCTTCCTTCTGCCCAAGGTAGGGCTGCACCACCCTATTGCCTCATCATCTTCTCTGCACATCTCTTTCTTCCTATGTCCCTCCCCTCACATCTCAACATTGGACATCTTGTAACTGACCCCTTTTCCAATCCAGGGCACCGATGTGTTTCCCTTGCTTGGTTCAGTCCTCAGAGACCCTAAATACTTCCGCTACCCAGATGCCTTCTATCCACAACATTTCCTCGATGAGCAGGGACGTTTCAAGAAGAATGAAGCATTTGTCGCCTTTTCCTCTGGTAGGTTGCGATGGTCTGGGTGACCCCTAGGAATGTCCTATATCTATCCCCCAATCCAGGGTACATCTAGAAATCTACACTTAAGGGAAGTAATTCTACATGTTGAGGCCCCTAGTTGAGGATGGTAATGAACAAACCCTGTGACATTGTAATGACCTCTTAAAGTGCTATGGAGGCACCTGAAGTTCAGAAGTGTGCTCTGGCCCCAGTCTCCCAACCCCCATCCCCCATCCCATTATCCTGTGCAAGTGTGAGCCAATCTATTACCCTCCCCTGTGCCCACAGGAAAGCGCATCTGTCTGGGTGAAGCCATGGCCCGAATGGAACTCTTTCTCTACTTCACCTCCATCCTTCAAAATTTTTCCCTGCGATCACTAGTGCCACCAGCTGACATCGACATCAACCCAAAACTCTCTGGATTTGGCAATATCCCCCCTACCTATGAAGTTTGCCTCGTTGCACGTTGAATGCCCACAAAGTTTCCACAATATCCATGAGCTGGGCATTCTCGTCCGTCATGGAATAGAAGTCTCCTAACTTTACCTTCAAAATACAGAATTGAGTATCTTGTACAGTCAGTAAACTATGCAAGGAAGCTTATGCAATATTTTTGCAAAATTCCAAAGGATATACCTTCTCCTGATCATCTCCTGCTAGGATTTCTGCCTCCACCAAATTTGTGTTGTCTATTCTTCACCTTTATGTGGCCCCATTTTCTCTGGCCTGATACTGATCTGTGAGTCAAAATCCTTTCCACTTCAAATAAATCTCCCTCCAAAAGGCAGGGAAGCGGGGCAGGGCTGGGCTGGGCTGGGCGCAACCAAGAACTCAAGAGTGATGAATATAAAATGTTTATTGTGTTGTTTTGTGACTTCACTATAGACTCCCCTTGTTATTAATCTTCATTTCTCCAACTCACATCAGAGATCTTTCCCTAGTCATGACAACTCTGGGAATATCCAAGTCTCCATAATCCTGATGGATCATTGCCCAGAAAGAATTCCCCTCAATCTCTCCTTGTATCCTGGTTGCTCTAACTCCTCCTCTCAATTTCAGATATCCTCACTCTGCTTTGAATAATAATTCATCCACCCTCTACTTTTATTATTCCATTTTTGTCTCCATCAATGCCCTGAAGTTGATAAAAATCTTCCAGCATAGATATTTGTGTATTCAAATAATATTTATTACATACCAAGTGTGTGCAAGCACCTGCTAAAGGTATTTGAAATCCATGAACAACACAGACAAAAATTGCAACCTTGAGGAATTACACAGACAGATACAAAATAATATGATTGGTAAGCAAATAATTTATTATGTCAGAAAAGTAAAGCAGTTAAACAGGATAGGTAGGGAATGCCACGGCTGGAATTGGGTATGTCTAGGAGAAGTCTCATCAGCTCGTGGAGGCTAATAGGCAAGGCATTCAAGTATCTGGGAATTAATCTTCTTGGAAGAGCAACTTAAAAGGCAGGAACATTCCTATTTTTAAAAGACTTCACGAAGGGTCTAGTATGGATGAAGTAGAGGGGAGATATAAAGAAAAGAAATAAAAGAGATGAGGCTATAGAGTTACTTGGGGGCCTGATGGCATTTCCTCATGTGGTAGGAAGAATGAGTTGGTTGTGAGCAGAAAGAGATATATCCTGATATATTTTGAAAGCTTCATCTATCTGCTACATATAAAACAGACTAGAGTAAGAACAAGAACTAAAGCAGAAAGACAAATTTGGAGGCTACTGTGACTGGTAATTTTCACTTCTTGTTATTACGTGCCATCAAATTGATCACAACTCTTAGCAACCCTATGAACAAAAGACCTTAACCCTGTTTTATAACTATTGTCGTTTCTCCAAGTTCATAGAGTTTCCAGAGGCATGTTGTCTAGGAGGTAGATACCACTCTTGCTTCCAAGCCTGACTTAATTCTGGGAGCTCCACCAAATACTGTTAAACATGTGTAACCATTATGGAATTTGAAACATCAATGGCACAGCTAGTTAAGTTAGGCACAGTGAAACTAAAGTGTTGAGTGAGTAGAAATGGGTGGATAGAATTTATTGTAAAGTAGGAAACAGCAGCATCTCTTGATGTACTGGATGTGGGGTGTGGAGACCCATGTGTGTCATCCTAGTGCAGTTCTAGAGATTTTCAATGAGTGGTTTTCATCCAAGACACTTCTGGATGGACCTGAACCTCTGCATTTTCACTTAGCAAGTGTATGAACCTATTGTACAAACCAAGGATTACCATTAATCCTACTGCACAATCTATTACTCAATCGTAAGCTATTACTCACAAATTAAGCCATAAGGAAATTATACTGGACCCTACAAAATGCTAAAAATGAGGCAACTGACAATGTCAACTTCTGGTGAGAAAGAGAGCAACTGGAACTCTCATACTTTCATTCATCTGGTCTTCGTTCATTAGTGTTCAAGGCTTCAAACCTGCTCCTGAAATGAATTTTTTAAATTCAGGGGGGAATAGATTCAAGATTATATTATTAAAACTCATACTTGTTTTGACTTTTTTCAGGTAGCACTCTTGAAGATGAGGCTGGCTGTGGGGGTGTCTGTAGAAGACAGTTCTGTCTTCTGATCAGTCACAGCTCTGTCCCTGATCAGCTTAGTGACCCAGGTTGTTCTCTCTACACTTTGAGCCTCTTTCTTCATGGTCCCTTTCAGTCCCTTCTGTGCTGGTGGGTTATAAGCTTATATAGCCACTCTTGAAGATGGTTTGACAGTTTCTTGTAAAACTGCACACACATTTACCAGAAGACCACCCAGAGATGTTATCCTAGATACATATGCAATTAGAAGAAGTTATAAATATATTAACACAAAGGTATGTATGCAAATGTTCACACCCACCAGGATGGCTATACCACCACCCACCACTACCTAACTGGAAAATAACAAGAGTTGATGGAGATGTGAGGAAATTGGAACACTCATTTATTATTGGTAGGAATTTCAGATGTGGGAAACCATGGGAATTAGTTTGAGGAACCTTCAAAAGATAAGACACAAGTACCATAATGGGCCTTGCAGCCAATTCTAATTCATGGTGACACCATGTGTGCAACATAGAGCTGTGATCTGTAGCGTTTCCGGTGACTTATTTTCCAGAAGTAGAAAACCAGCCTTTTCTTCTCAGGGTCCCAGGTCTCAACTCACTGTAGTGGAGTAATTTCCAATGCATAACAACCCTCCAGCAGGTTTCTAAGGCTATGAAGCACAGCAGAAGAGACTTCCCATCTTTCTTCAGAAGACTAGCCCACCATTCACAACAGCCAAACAACCCATGTGGACATTTATCAATGAATGGATAGACAAAATGACTTGTCCATACAATGGTATATTGTAGCACTGTTGTTATATGTCAGAACACATTCATAGCTGACTCTCCAGTGAGTTTTCAGATGCTATAAATCTTATGGGAGGAAATTATCTTTCTCCCTCAGAACAGCTGGTGGATTCGAACGACCTACCATTGGATTGGCAGCACCAGAATGCAGAACTGACATATGCCAAAACCTAAAAAAGCCTCAAAAACACTATGTCACCTGAAAAAAGCCAAAACACATATGAGTTTTAATAATATAATCGTGAGTCTATCCCCCCTGAATTTAAAAACCAACTTAGGAACAGGTTTAAAGCCTTGAACACTAATGAATGAAGACCAGATGGGAAGAAACCAAGAATATCATCTATAAAGAATGTAAAAGGTCATTACAAAGAAGGTGGAAAAGGAAAAGATCAAAATGGATGTCAGAAGAGATTCTGAATATTGTACTAGAGTGCCAAGAAGCTAAAGCAAAGGGAAGAAATCAAGAAGTTAAAGTGCTGAATAGAAGATTTCAAAGGGCAGCTCGGGAAAACAAGGCAAAGTATTATAATGAAATGTGCAAAGAGCTGGTGTTCGAAAATCAAAAGGACCAAACTAATTCAGCATTTCTTAAACTACAGGAACTAAAGAGCAAATTCAAGCCATGAGTTGCAATAATTAAGAATACTATGGGCAGAATATTGAATGATTCAGGAAGCATTAAAAGAAGATGGAAGGAATATAGAGTCACTGTACCAAAAAGAATTGTCTAACACAGAAGAATTGCATGAAACAACATATGATCAAGAGGCAACAGTGTGTGAATTTTGTAAATAAACTAGTGGGGGTGGGGGAAGAGTCAATGGTGATGAAAAAGAAAATTCAGGCTGCTCTGAAGGACTTGGGAAAAAAAAAGCTCCAGGAATTGATGGGATACCAATTGATATATTTCAGCAAACAGATGTTTCTCTGGATGTGCTCACCAGGTTGTGCCAAGAAATCTGGAGGACGACAAACTGGCCAACTGACTAGAAGAGATCCACAATTATTCTCATTCCAAAAAAAAGTGTCCTGACAGAGTGTGGAATTTATCAAACAATAGCACTTAAATCATATGCTAACAAAATCCTGCTGAAGATTATCCAGAAATGACTGAAATGGTACATTGACAAAGAACTACCAGAAATGCAAGCTATGTTTAGAAGAGGTTGTGGCACTAGAGACTACTGCCAATGTTAGATCGATCTTGGCAAAAAGCAAAGAATACCAGAGGAATGAATATCTATCTGTGTTTCATTGACTAAGCAGAGGTATTTGTGTGGATCAAAACAAATTGTGATTAACCCTGAAGAAAACTGGAATCCCAGAACCCTTGATTGTGCTTATAGGAAATCTATTCTTGGACCAGGAAGCAGTTGTCAGAACAGAGAAAGGTAACACTGCATGCAGTGTGTCAAGGATGCATCCTGACTCCACAACTTTTCAATCTCTATGCAAAACAGATCATTCGGGAAGCTGGGCTTTATGAGGAGGAATGTGGCATCAGGATTAGAGGAAGACTCATTAACAACATATGTTATGCAGATGCATATATAACCTTGCTTCCTGAAACTGAGGACATGAATCGCTTTCTGCGTAAGGTCAAGGACTGTAGTCTTCAATATAGATTGAAGCTCAGCATCAAGAAGACAAAGATTTTCAACACTGGGCCAATTGGCCCAAAGATAGATGAAGATGAGATTGAGGTTCATAACAATTTCTGTTTGCTCGGCTCCACAATCAACACTCTCGGCACCAGCAGTCAGGAAATCAAAAGACAAATTGCATTGGGAAAATCTGCTGTCAGGGATCATGCCAGAGTGCTGAAAAGCAGCGATGTCAGTCTAGAGACTAAGGTGCACCTAATTCAGCCCCTGGTCTTTGCAATTACTTGCTATACATCAGAGAGCTGGACAATGTCTAAGGATGAGAGAAGAATTGAAGCCTTTGAGTTGTGGTGTTGGAGAAGAGTCTTGAACATAACATGGACCACCAAGAAAATAAATAGGTCTGTCTTGGAGAGGGTGAAACCAAGTTTCTTTATGGAGGCTAGGATTTTGAAGCTGCATCTCACAAACTTTGGGCACGTGGCCAGG